GTTATGTCAATCAATTTCATCAGCTATAGTTATGTCAATCAACTTCACTGGCTATCGTTACATCAAGTTATGTCATTGGCTGTCAGATAAGAAAGAAAAGAGTGACATGGTTTGAACCCGTCTCACCACAGCAGTGCCGTAACCACTGGGTGAGGCCGAATGGGGCATTTATTTACCATCTGCTGGATGCGAGCAAAACTTTTGCCGTGGAAGCTGAAGGCTTGTTCGAAGAGGACTTTGTCCTCCACCGTCCATTCATCGGGGAACGGCGTGAAGTTGGCTAAATCGGCCAGCGACTTCTCCACGTCGTGTTTATGCCACAGGAGCATCCCCAGAGCCTGTTTTGGGAAGGGGGAAAGAAAAAAGAGATTGAGACCGCGGACGTGGGGGGAAAAAAAACCCTGTTTCTCCCCAGCCCGAAGAGGTGGGAGTCCCTTTAAAATAAGTTTCTAGTCCCCGTGGGAAAGCTGAACTTGAACAGGACGGGAAGTTTGGCTGGGCCTTTAATGCTATTTCTTTGTTTACCTGTTCGATGTTGTAGCCATGCTTTTCCTTGGCCATGGCGATGTATTTGTCCACTAGGGGGAGTAAGAGAGAAAATTCAGGCTCTGGAAAGGGGGCGGAGCAATAAATCAGTAAGACAAGTAGTCCTTGATTTACGATGGTTCGTTTAGTGTCCGTCTGACAGGTTACAAGAGGACGGGGGAAAAAAAGTTGACTTTTTTCAGTGCCCTTGTCAAGGGACCCAGGTTTTTGGCAACGTAGCTGATTCTGTAATCTGCTCAGAGGGGGCCCTAAAATTATTTTAAAGCGGTATACAGGTGGTCCCTGACTTACGACTGCTCATTTAGTGACCATTCAAAGTTATGACGTCGCTGGGAAAAAGTGACTTATGACCATTTTTCGACAGTGACGAACTTTGCAGCCATCCCCACGATCGTGGGATTAAAATTCAGAATTGTGGCAAGGATATGCAAGGTCGCAAAATGGGGCCAGGCTCACTTAACAACATAAAATCTGGGGCTCAATCACGGTCATTAAGTCGAGGACTACCTGCGTAAGTCTTACGGCTATCGTCCGAAGGTCGTAAAAGGGAAACACGTAACCCCAGGGGACACCGTCAGAAATAAGAGCCGGTCTGCATTTTAATCACCTGACCACGGGGAATGGTGCAACGGTGGTAAGTGTGAAAAACGGTCCGAAGTCACGTTTTTCAGTGCCGTTGTAACTTTGGGCGGTCGCTTAATGAACAGTCGTAAGACGAGGACTCCCTTTGTTGGACACCACCTTCGTTTCCAATCTCACAACAACGCTGGGAAAAGGTTTTAGCTGCAGCCCTTCCGCTGCTCCTCCGCCATCCTTTCAGGGGGTGCCGCTCCCAAGTGACCCCTCGGGACCCCCAAACCCCAACCCCGATGCCCCCCCCAGCCCCCCCCCACTCTTCAGCAAAGGCTGAACTGCCTCCTGCTGCCAATTCACACCCCCCCCTCCCCGCCACAAGCTTCCTATACCAGCCAGATTAAAAAACCTGGGAGCGCATGAACGGCATAACAATTGCTTCTAGAGGGAGGGGGAACTGCCAATCAAAGGCTGTGCTACCAGATGAGGGTGGAATAGATGGAATCCCACCCCCCCTCCTAGAAAACCCTGGGCAAGGTTGCTTCTGGAGGTGAGGAGGGGGCTCCAAGCAGTAGGGAAGAGAGAGAGAGAGAGGGTGAGAGAAACTGTCAATTCACGCGAAGATCAAAATAGCTTGGAGGAGGAAGGCTCTGGTGATGGGTGGGGGGGGCAATTGGGGGTGGGTGGGGGTCACAATAAGGCAGAGGCCATTGATTTGAGGGTCCCTTCCTGCTCTTCTCACCGGGGAGGGGGCTTCGCACTCACATTTGGCGTCAGAAACACAGTGGTTGGGGGACCAAACCAGCATCCCTTTCAGCTCCTTGTTGCTGTACCGAGCTGGGCTCTCTGGGTAGACAAAAGAGGAGAGGGGCCATTAAGGGACACACACGCGCACACACACACACAGAGACAGAGGCCAAATCCCTCTCCCCATCCCCAAAGGAGGGGGAGAGGAGAATGGACAGGGGAGGAGGGGGGGTCAAGAAGCCTGCCCATCCTTCCCTGCACCCTAAGCGGCCATCCTCATTCACGCTTGCTGCTTTGGTCTTTATTTATTATTATTATTATTATTATTATTATTATTATTATTATTATTATTATTATTATTATTGTTGTTGTTGTTGTTGTTGTTGTTGTTGCATTATTATTATTATTATTATTATTATTATTATTATTATTATTATTCAACGGGCACTCCTCCCAACCCACAAAAAATAGACAAACACACACTTGGCCAGCGTGCAAGAAGGGTCTTCACCTCCACCTAAGAGTCCCCTCACTAAGAGCCAAAGGCTTAAAGAGGTTAATTTAAGGGAGGGGGCAGGCAGGACTGCAAGGATGGAAAGGAGACCACAGGTAGAGGTTTATTTTATTTTATTTTATTTCCAGAGAGGGATGCCTTTGGAGAGTGGGGGGGGGGGGG